TGCACAATAAACTACCACTCACAGGAGGAGTATGGTGTGAATTACATATGAATTACATTCATATGTAATCAGTCTCAACAGTCTCCGTGGTGTAGTGGTAAGACACTCGCCTGGCGTTCCGCGAGAGCTATGTCATGGGTTCGTATCCTGGCCGGGGAGGATTTACTGGGCGCAATTACTTAACTGTAGCCTCTGTTTAACGCAACAGTAAAATGTGTACTTGGATGAAAAAACTATTCTTCGCGGCAGGGGATCGTATTCCAGGGACCTGCCCGAAACGCTACGCGTACTAGTGGCTGTACAAGAATGTAACAACTCTTGTATATATCTCAAATATCTCAAAATTCATAAGTAAAAACAATCCCTCTTAAACTATTAAATGCTCGTTTTCTTTAGTGTCCGAGGATTAAATTATATAAAAACTTAATATTTTTAAGGGTAGTCCTCTCTAGTTGCATTGATAGGGACATGAAGGTTCTTGATTTCTTAGGTTCCATCCTTTTCATGGATCTTGGGTTCTATAATAGTATTTACTCCGGCTGGTTCAAGATGTACGCTTTGGCTGATGCTCTGTTTGGGAATTTGATCATCATTTGTTGTCATGGGAAGCTCGCTGGCTGCTTCCGACAGTCCAAATGATTCGTGGAAATCTTTAGGGGCTTTTTACATATTTATTTATTTTGAACACGTGAAAAAAATCTATTAACAATCCCGCGACCCAAAGCGATATATGTTGTTGTTGATGATTTAGGGGCGACGACGATCGAGGGATCGGATGCGTCCCGGCGTACCCGTGAAGGGTGAATCCCGAAGCCAGGAAAAGTGAAACGCCAAGCCTAATCGCGAAACGAGTGACGCCAATCACTAGAAACTAATATGCCATACGGCAAATAAACGCACAGTCAGGCAGATGATTGGGGAGTCCCAGGAGTCCCTCAGGGTGACAAGCACCGGCCCCGCTCCACACAGAGAACACCAAGTAGCAAAACCAAAACTCTGCCCCCAACTAAAACGCAGTCATCCAGTGTCTTCCGGCAGAGCAGACTACGACTGAGGGCACACCAGGAGCCCACCACGACTGAGGGCACACCAGGAGCCCACCACGACTGAGGGCCCACCAGGAGCCCACCACGACTGAGGGCATACCAGGAGCCAACCACGACTGAGGGCACACCAGGAGCCCACCACGACTGAGGGCACACCAGGAGCCCACCACTGAGGGCACACCAGGAGCCCACCACGACTGAGGGCATACCAGGAGCCAACCACGACTGAGGGCACACCAGGAGCCCACCACGACTGAGGGCCCACCAGGAGCCCACCACGACTAAGAGCACACTAGGAGCCCACCACGACTGAGGGCACACCAGGAGCCCACCACGACTGAGGGCACACCAGGAGCCCACCACGACTGAGGGCCCACCAGGAGCCCACCACGACTGAGGGCACACCAGGAGCCCACCACGACTGAGGGTACACCAGGAGCCCACCACGACTGAGGGCACACCAGGAGCCCACCACGACTGAGGGCCACCCGGAGCCCACCACGACTGAGGGCACACCAGGAGCCCACCACGACTGAGGGCCCACCAGGAGCCCACCACGACTGAGGGCACACCACCACGGAGCCACCACCACGACTGAGGGCCACCACCCACCCACCACGACTGAGGGCACACCAGGAGCCCACCACGACTGAGGGCACACCAGGAGCCCACTGACGACTGAGGGCACACCACCAGGAGCCCACCACGACTGAGGGCACACCAGGAGCCCACCACCACGACTGAGGGCACACCAGGAGCCCACCAAGACTGAGGGCACACCAGGAGCCCACCACGACTGAGGGCACACCAGGAGCCCACCAAGACTGAGGGCACACCAGGAGCCCACCACGACTGAGGGCACACCAGGAGCCCACCACGACTGAGGGCACACCAGGAGCCCACCAAGACTGAGGGCACACCAGGAGCCCACCAAGACTGAGGGCACACCAGGAGCCCACCACGACTGAGGGCACACCAGGAGCCCACCACGACTGAGGGCACACCTGGAGCCCACCACGACTGATGGCCCACCAGGAGCCCACCTCGACCCGCCAACCCCCGGCACCTCTCGGCCAAGCCGGCCCCCGAACACCGTCACCCCGCCGGGAGAACCAACCAGTACACGTAAAAAAAAAATTAAATAAATAAATGGTTATTCAGGTAAAGTACATACATACAAGAGGTTTACAAAAATTTATAGATTTATAGATAGAGCTAGTACATACAATGCCTAAAGCCACTATTACGCAAAGCGTTTCGGGGCAGGAAAAGACTAAAACTTAATACTAAATCTATCAAGAAACCTGTGACCCAAGGCGATATGTGCGCCGGGCGTCGTACAATCAGACCGCTGAAGAGCGATACCAAACGGCAGTAGCAAAGCGAAAATAAGACGTGATCAGGCGGCTCCCAGGAGGTGTCCAGACGTCCGCTCGGCCTTAAGATTGAACCAGGAGTCCCCAAAGCGATATATGCCCCGAAATGCTTTGCGTAATAGTGGCTTTAGGCATTGTATGTACTAGCTCTATCTATAAATCTATTAATTTTTGTAAAACCTTTGTATGTATGTACTTTACCTGAATAAATATTTATTTATTTATTTATTATTTATGCGCCAGGCGTCGGAGTCCCACACAGCCTTGTGCTGTAGCTGCCCCTGATTCTCTAACAACAACAACAAAGGTAAAAGTGCTCTAGCTGCCCCTAACTCACAAACGTAAATATCACAAGTTGTATTAAGTTTCTTGTTAAGATGTGCTGCACATGCTGCTTATTAAGATGTACAGCTTAGAGTATGATACAAGGAGAAGAAGGGATATTTAATGTCAGAGGTTATTATACAGTAATGTTTTCATATACATTGTAGGATGTAGGACTGAGAACATGTTACGAACCCGGATTCAGCGTCCGAGCCTGGAGCAGTGACAACCACGCCATCTGTGGGTCAGCTCCCGAAACCCCCGCCAAACGGACGACGACACCTGGTGAGGACAGCGTGTACTGGCCTCGAGGACCAGTTTCCAGTCTGGTTCCGCGCTCAACACCGCCGCTCCTGACCTCTGGTGAGGTGGTGCTCCGACGACAGCGCCATCTATGGACCGGATACGTCAGGTGTTTGTGCCAGAGCCCGTAAGTAAGGTGTTTTAGTGTGTCCCAGTCATTGATGATGTCTGTTTACAGAGTCGACCTGGGACCGCTGTGTTGAAGGTTGAGTCAGTCTACCCGAGGCAGCCAGTCTCCATACCTTGAACGTTGCTGCAGCTGTTGTGAAGTCGTCCCCCCGGAAGAACACTGTGGTGTGTTAGCCTGCCAGTGGAGTGGCAGTAAGAGGATTTACCCGGGACCGACTGTTGGAGACGATCATCCACTGGGGTATTGAGGACAGGAGGGTGATTTGTGATATCACACGAGACTCCTGTCTAGGGCGTACCCCTTATATCGTTCGTGGACTGGCCGTACCAGCCTTGGTGGCTCAGTACCTGCCAGCAGACCAGCTGGACGTGTGGTGGACGGCCTCCACGACGGTGCCCCCAGTGGACCTGTCAACTTCTTTGGATATTTCGTTGTGTGGCCACGAAGAAGCACCAAGGACTCGGCACCGAGAGTTGTGGCACCAGAGTCTTCAGCAGAAGACTATATTGTGTATAATCCCCTTGTATAGTGTTAATACCCCTCCCCCTATGCACCTTTTGATTTTATATATTTAATTGGTGATGGTGACAAGTATAATCTTAAGTTCTTAGCTTTCTTTCCCTACTCCCTTTTAAGTTACTTGCGTCACGGATCTCATCCCTTGATAGCCAATACTGGCTTGGGAACGGATACATATATCTTCCTCTAACAACATCAGAGTAAGGACCCCGTTGCGTCCCGAGAGGGCCGTAACAGAACAGGAGATGCCTTTTCCCCCCACAGGGCTATTAATTAACTCGTGGAACCGCCTACCCGCCGAATCTGTATCTGCCAAAACTGTGTCGAACTTTAAAATATACTTAGAAAAGGTCATCAAGGCAAATAGGGAGACCTTCGACAAGCCGCCGGCTTCCTGTCTTATCCCTAGGCCACTGAAGAGTTAGCGGCCCTCAGGTAAATACAGTACAAGGGAACAACGGTAACTGTGTAGCCGATTAGAAGAAAGAAGTGAAGGCGGTCAGGAAAGGCCACAGGCAGGTAGGCTCCAGGAAGACCGCAGGCAGGTAAGCTCCAGGGAGGCGGCAGGCAGGTAGGCTCCAGGAAGACCGCAGGCAGGTAAGCTCCAGGGAGGCGGCAGGCAGGTAGGCTCCAGGAAGACCGCAGGCAGGCAAATTAAAATCTTTGCATCGGTGTATATACAGCAGTGCTTGTGCTGTGTGCAGCAGTCATGCACCAGTACAGTATCATACTTTAAACTGAAACAACATTCCAATCAGCTGGCAACAATGACATTGTTGATTTGTTTCATGCTGTTTTGGACAGCAGTTCATATTAAAAAATGTGCAGCACTCTTTGAGAAGTTACTTGAGAATATCTAAATTTTCAACCTGTACCAAAATTAAGGATTGTGGATATGTTGAATACAGGACCATGAAATGCTGCACTACTTTCATTAAGTATACTACGTAACATTCTGAACCTTAGACAGATAATGCCAGTGCATCTAGGATATAATACAGCCATTGAGTTTGTAAACCAGCTTACAAAATATTGTATATATGAAAATACTGTATTAAAAGATGCAGGCTATTGCTTCTTGGTGTATATTGCTTGAACAGTATTAGATTGTCAATTTAATGTATCCTGATTATGCTCTAAAATTAGTTGTTTCCAGGCCAGGTGTGATGTATAGGTAAAGAACTGGGATATCTAGATGAAGATGGAAGTAACTCGCTGTATTCCAAGCTGCATTATGTGCCTGTAACTTCCACTTCCAGTACTGTATGACAATACTGTACATCATATTAAAGTCAGTGACTAAAATGTTCAAGAAAAGCAGTGTTTTGGTTGGATCTCAACAATATAGAATCCTCAGGAGGGGGTGTGCCCAGTATGGCTTTGTTCCAAAGCACAGCCCATGTCAGGATTGGGCACTGGCCCAGATGCAAGAGTTTATCAACAGTACTAAGAAGTTGTTTGTGCTGACTGGAGCAGGCATCTCGACAGAGAGTGGCATTCCAGACTACCGCTCAGAAAGAGTAGGTTTATATGCAACTAGCACCAAAAGACCTGTGCAGATTAAGGTAAGCTTTATCATAGCACATTCTTATTCCATCAAAGACATAAGGTTACATAGCCTTGTCTCAGCAGACTTTATTTACTATTTTAATATTTTAGATGTGAAAAATGTGCATTGACACTCAACTACCATTTGTTTATGAGTTTGCAGTCCCAAATATCCCATTAGGTACACGAAGGAGAGAGAGGAAAGGACAGCCTGCACATCATGTGTATGAAAGTGAGAGGTGGACAGTGAGCATATAAGGTGGATAAAGATGAAAGAGTAAGGGACATCCTGCATATAAGGTGGATGAAGATGAGAGAGTAAGGGACAGCCTGCATATAAGGTTGATGAAGTGAGAGAGGAAGGGACAGCCTGCCTATAAGGTGGATGAAGATGAGAGAGTAAGGGACAGCCTGCATATAAAGTTGATGAAGTGAGAGAGGAAGGGACAGCCTGCTTTGTTTTTGTTGGCTTTGGTCTCTGGGGGATGGGTCGGTGAGCTTCATGCAGCTGTCTTCTTCTTTTCTGGTGAAGAATGAGATGGCAGGCTTCTAGAGGGGTCCGTCGGTTGTTGATGCTTGGTTGGTCATGCCGGGGGTGCTTCATGTTTTGTGTCCGGTGGCAACTTTTTGCCGCTACCTGCGTACCACTGCTTCTGTGTCTGTGGATGCACTTTAGATGGACCTGGTTTCCTTTGTTCCCTGTTCCAAGGCTCGGGTCTCTCAGGTTGTCCTCAGGGTTATTAAGTCTAGGCTGCCCTTGTGCCCATGATGTTCGGAAGTTTGCAGCTCTTGCTGCGGTCTTTGGTAACATGTCTTGGGTTGACATTCAGGCACGGGGGTTTTGGCGTTCAAACAGTATCCTGGCCACCCATTATTTGGTTAATGTTCTGGGTCCTCAGTGAGCCTGTGTGGCTTTGGGGTGCCTATCGTGGCCAGCTGTCTCGTCTTCATCCTGAGGGACACGGCACGGCCGCCTCCCGGGTAAGTTCCTGCTTACTTACCTGTGGGTATCTAGCTTCAGGGAGCCAACAAAGCTCCCCACAGAAAACCTTTGTTTTGAATGTAGTGAAACTCCATTTTCTGGGTGAGCCACGGAGGTTCCCTGACACCCTCCGGTTGCCAATTTTTATTTTTGTTTGCTCGGTCTCCGAACTGGGGGGCGAGCAGCCCCCCTAGTTCGGGGGGGGGAGCTGCTCCCCTCCCTCTCCCGGGTGATAGGGGGGTGCAAACGAGCAGTGCATCAGTTTGATAACGTTTTGCTTGTTGCATAGTTTTTCTTGGGGAGAGTTCTTGGACTCTGTTCGTTCTACCAGTAGTGGTTTGTTTTGCGATGCCTACCTTTCTGGGTGCCTTACCCGCTCGATGGCAGACACGAATATACTCTCAAAGAGTGGTGTTCTCATAGGCCATTGCTCCCTGCACCTCTCTGAAGGAACCAGGTTTTGGCTCGTGGTTTCCGGTAGGTAAGAACTCCATGTGACTGAAGTCCCAGACTAATGTAGCATATATCAGTCCAATAGCTTCTGGGAGCTGATGGAGCTCACCCAAAAAATGGTGTTTCATTACATTCAATGCTGGTTTTTTGTGAAACCCCCCTGGATATTATGTATTTTTCAAAATTAAGGATAATTTTTTTTTAATTACCTAACTGTAATTTCCTAAGTGTATTTACAGGATGAGAGCTACGCTTGTGGTGTCCCGTCTACCCAGCACTCTTTGTCATATAATGCTTTTAAGCTACTGAAGGTATTGGCCTCCACCATCTTCTCACTTGTTCCAACCGTCTACCACTCTGTTTGCGAAAATGAATTTTCTTATATTTCTTCGGCATCTCTCTTTAGTTAGTTTAAGTTTACGTTAAGAGTTTAGTTAGTTGTGCTAGCCCCCCCCCCCTTAACATTGTCCTTGAGGTTTCAGTGGCAATGTTAAGGGGGCTAGCACAGTAATGTCAGAAAGAGGCATTTCATTTCGCTAGGTTCTGTTCTTAGTAGATCAGTTGTTTATTTTATGAAAGAAAAGTGCAGTATATTTCCTCACCTCTAAAAATTATAAATTTTCCAGCACTTCATGGAATCATCTAAAGCTCGGCAGAGCTACTGGGCAAGAAATTACATGGGATGGCCACGATTCTCATCCTTTAAACCAAATATATCACACACAACTCTAGCTGAGTGGGAGAGGAGAGGAAAAATTCACTGTATTGTAACCCAGAATGTTGATCGATTACATCACAAGGCAGGAAGTTGCAAGGTTCATGAACTTCATAGTAATTTGCGGCGTAAATTTTTTTTTAATGTGGCATGTTTAAATTCCCTGTCGGTTTGTGTATTCTCTCAGATACCAGTGTTTAAATAAGATGTAGCTGACTGTAGTGAAGATTTCAATATTGGCACGTGTAGAAGAATGGGTGCATATATTCAAAATATTGTACATCTCTATTTGTGGCCTGTATGCCTTCTGGTATTTTGCTCTGGTGCTTTGGAGTCATCAGGAAATGGCTCTAGCTTGTCAATTTGAAATTGTCAGATTATACAGTTGTTCATTTATAGCAATTTATAGCACTTAAATATATATAGGACAGAGGTCATATAACTGATGCAAGAGCTGCAGCATGTGTCCACGCCCAGCTGTAGCATCGACTCATTATATTCAGCTACCACTCATGTTATTGAAAGTGAGATAGGAATTGAATAAGAGACAATTGTTAGGAATTATGTATATGACATTACATTAACAAATGTGATGTTAATGATTTAACAGAAAATGCTATTTTACATTAAATCTCAGTTAGGGACATTTTCTGTGGAGAGCCCCGTCGGTTCCCTGGAGCTATCAGGCTAATATATACGAAATATTATTCGGGAGAATCAGTCAATTGGAGTTCAGCCAACCAGAGAAGATGAGCCAGGACCTGGCCCCCCCTCAGAGAGGCACAGGGAGCAATGGCCTATGGAAACCCCCCCATGTGGTTGGGAGCATTCCATGTCTGCCATCAACCGGGATCAGGCGCCCAGAAAGGTAGGCATAATAAAACAGACCCACACTTGGTAAGAAATTGCAACCGAAGACTGAACAAAGAGGCAGAATTTCCCCCCAAAGAAAAAAGCAAGCCTACCTGTCTGGGTGCCTAACCACGGTTGATGGCAGACATGGAATGCTCCCAACCACATGGGGGGGTTTCCATAGGCCATTGCTCCCTGTGCCTCTCTGAGGGGGGCCAGGTTCTGGCTCGTGGTCCCCGGTAGGTTGAACTCCAATTGACTGATGCCCCCAGACTAATATATCATATATTGATTCAATAGCCTCAGGAAGCCTCCAGGGCTCACCCAGAAAATGGTGTGTCATTACATTCAATGGTGTTTTTTTGCCAACAGGTACAGCGTTCAACGTGATATGCATGACCTGCAACCATATGGTCGCTCGTCACACCTACCAAAGTAAATTGAGAGAAAGTAACCAACATATGTCTGCGGTGTCCCTGGAAATACGACCTGATGGAGATGTTGAACTCACTATGGTATACTGTATAATCACTCTTCTTGCTTTTTTGTTTTTTCCTTATTACAGTACTTATTTCTACTTTATTTCCAGTTTATATACTAATTATTATACTAATACTAATATTATTATACTAATATACAAACCGCCAGATGCAACGACTCAGGAATTCACAGAACAGATAAGCAAAATTGAAAATAGCCTTGATAATTTGGAGAACCCGATACCTGATATTATCTTCCTAGGTGACTTCAACTTGCCTAGTCTCAGGTGGAAAATAGCAAACAATAATATTATACCAGGAAATCTATCAGGACCTAACCAACCACAGATTAGAGAACTACTTAGATTCTGTGACAAATTTTCACTCAATCAGCAGATATCGGAGCCAACGAGAAATTAAAATATTCTAGATCTGGTCTTTACGAACAATGAAGACATTATCAGAGACATTACGATATCAGATACCACATACTCAGATCACAAACTCATTGAAGTGCAAACGATCATCAATACTCAGAATAGACCTAAAACGTTGATAAAGCGCGAGGGGCTATTCAGTAAATTCAATTTTAATAATAAAAGGATAGACTGGGAGATAATAAACAGGGAACTTACAAACATTCCATGGGGAACTGTTCTAAATAATACAAGTCCTACAGAAGGAATAGAAAAACTGACTTCAGAAGCGTATCAAGTCTGTCTGAAACATGTTCCTTTGAGGAAAGCCAGAAAGAGATCTAACGTAGAAAGAGAACGCAGACACTATAAACGCAGGAAAAAAATAACGGAACTGCTTATGCAGACACGAATTTCCCGTCAGAGAAGGAATAATTTAAATAGGGAGATTGAAGAAATCGAGCGGAAATTGAAACACTCATATGAAACTGAAGAAAGGCAGTTAGAACAGAAAGCAATTCAGGAAATAAAGAAAAATCCAAAATATTTCTTCTCATATGCGAAATCAAAAGCAAAAACCACTGCCAGTATTGGACCTATTCGTACAAGTGAAGGTTCATACACGGTGGATGACAAAGAAATTAGTGAAATCCTAAAAAAGCAGTATGAGGACATGTTTAGCACTCCAATAAACAACATGAAGGTGGAAGATCCAGACAATTTCTTTATGCGGGATATTCAAACCCCTGTAAATATAACTGATATAAACACGAGCGCACTAAATTTTGAAAAAGAAATTGAAAACATGCCCATGCACTCGGCTCCAGGTCCAGACTCATGGAATTCAATATTTATAAAGAAATGCAAAGTGCCGGTAGCACAGGCACTCAGTATAGTGTGGAGGAAGAGCTTGGACACGGGGGAGATACCAGATGCACTTAAAGTTGCAGACATAGCCCCTCTACACAAGGGAGGGAGCAAAGCATTAGCAAAAAATTATAGACCAGTTGCACTAACATCGCACATCATAGAAGTATTTGAGAGAGTGATTAGGAGTCAGGTCACCAATTTCATGGAGACCAATGACCTTCACAACCCAGGCCAACATGGATTTCGAGCGGGAAGATCGTGCCTCTCACAGCTACTTGAGCACTACGACAAAGTCACTGAGGCATTAGAAGAGAAACGGAATGCTGATGTGATATACACGGACTTCGCAAAGGCTTTCGATAAATGTGACCATGGCGTGATAGCACACAAAATGAAGTCAATGGGAATAACCGGTAAAGTACGACGCTGGATACTCAGTTTTCTGTCAAACAGGACTCAGCGAGTAACTGTCAACCATATAAAATCTAGTCCAAGTGCAGTGAAAAGCTATGTACCTCAGGGTACAGTCCTTGCACCGCTGCTTTTCCTTATTCTCATATCAGATATAGACAAAAATACAAGTCACAGCTTCGTATCATCCTTTGCAGATGACACAAAAATCAGTATGAAAATTACCTCGGCTGAGGACATTGAAAAACTCAAGCTGATATTAATAAAGTTTTCGACTGGGCATCAGAAAATAACATGATGTTTAACAGTGTTAAATTCCAGGTACTCAGGTACGGTAAAAATGAGGACCTTAAACAAAATACAGAGTACAAAACACAATCAAATGTACCCATAGTAGGAAAACAGCATGTAAAGGATTTGGGAATAATAATGTCTGACGACCTAACGTTTAAGGAGCATAACCAAGCAAATATTGCGACAGCCAGAAAAATGATAGGATGGATTACGAGAACTTTCAAATCCAGGGATCCCATCACAATGGTTGTACTCTTCAAGTCACTTGTGTTGTCCCGTCTTGAGTACTGCTCAGTACTCACTTCCCCCTTCAGAGCTGGAGAGATTGCTGAAATAGAGGGAATACAGAGAACGTATACGGCACGCATTGACGCAATAAAGCACCTAAATTATTGGGATCGTCTCAAAGCCCTCCAAATGTACTCACTAGAAAGAAGACGAGAGAGATATCAAATAATATACACCTGGAAGATACTGGAGGGCCAAGTACCAAATCTACACAGTAAAATAACAACGTACTGGAGTGAACGACATGGAAGAAAATGTAGAATAGAACCAGTGAAGAGCAGAGGTGCCATAGGCACAATCAGAGAACACTGTATAAACATCAGAGGTCCGCGGTTGTTCAACGTCCTCCCAGCAAGCATAAGAAATATTGCCGGAACAACCGTGGACATTTTCAAGAGGAAACTAGATTTATTCCTCCAAGGAGTGCCGGACCAACCGGGCTGTGGTGGGTATGTGGGCCTGCGGGCCGCTCCAAGCAACAGCCTGGTGGACCAAACTCTCACAAGTCGAGCCTGGCCTCGGGCCGGGCTTGGGGAGTAGAAGAACTCCCAGAACCCCATCAACCAGGTATCAACCAGGTATATATATATATATTCTGGGTTTGTCACTCGTTGACTTCCAGAAGATAACTATGTAATTAGCTTCCAGCATACCATTCCCCACCTGGTTTTTGCACAAGTCATAAAAGCCTACTGGAGACCAGAAACAGAATCTGGTCACTCAATAGAAGTGCAGAGTCTGGGATACTAGATGAACTCCAGCCAAGAGAAAAACCACAAGATAGGTAGAGCACTCCAAAACAAGCAACTTTAAGGATGAATATTATACAAATAATATAAACACAACAAACATAAGAAATATAAGCACAATTGAAAAAATATGAGAACGATCATAAGCTAGCTACTGTTGCTATTGCCGCCGCTAGTCACCACTGCTAGCTATTGCCATTAGTTATTCTTCCCTGCCACCAGACAGGGCTCCAGGAAGCCTGGAGGGTCAACCGACAATAACCCTCAGTCATTCATCTGGTGTGAGTAATGCTTTTTCCGTTCACCACTATCCTTCAGATCCTGATTTTCAGATAAGTATTGGTTATCTTTTTTGGACTCTGTCCTGCAGGGATGTGTATTTTATCTGTTCAAATTTCGTGTATCACTTCATGAACGAGTGATACACGAGGCCTGGTGGTGGTGCATGATAGGTTTGGACACTATCCATTCCATTCAACAGTTAATTTTTCCCTTTTCACATGATACTTCCCATGTTGTCGAAGTGATGTAGTTTTGCTGGTGTTAAGTGGAAGGACATGACCTTTTCTGAGCAGTACTTCTTCCTTGTTTGCTTGTGGGGCTGGGTCTTGAAGTGTGGATGGCCACCTTCCTCGATCCAGTTGTACTAGCTAGTATTCACCTAGTTGTGCTTGCAGGGGTTGAGCTCTGCTCTTTCGGCTCATCTCTCAACTATTACTACCTATTTTTTTTCCTCACACACACACACACACCTTACCCAGGAAGCAGCCCATAACAGCTGACTAACTCCCATGTACAGTACCTATTTACTGCTAGGTAACAGAGTCATCAGGGTGAAAGAAACTCTGCCCATCTGTTTATGCCAGCACCGGGAATCGAATCTGATTCCGTCCTCTGCCTCTGGGGGGCGTGGACGTCGGGCTCTGGCTGCCAGTAGCTGTTTGTCGCTGACTGGTGGTGGTTGCTCGTTGCTGTGGGGCGCCAGCTGACTAAGGCGGAGGTCAGCAATATGGCGGCGGCTGGTGGTGGCCGCATCCGCCGTGTGAATACTGCTCGGCTGGAGTTCTCTGCACCGGTGGATTGGGAACTAGTGGCGGCTGCGCTTTTGGATGTCCTTCAGGTGG